TCTTACCTGGGGGTGGGGGAGTAAGTGCTACTATTAAAATGATATTAGCTAATATATGTCAGCGCCCTTATTGAATTCCATTCACCTAACCAATTTTTTCTTTCACGGCACCATGCCAAATGTTTTATATACATGATTTTTTTCACTTACTAGTGGTTTTCTTTTACCTACACAACCATAATATCCCATTTCATGAAGATAATTACGCACAGTTGAAGAACTTACAGATAAACTAAGTGATTCATTGAATTTTTCTGTCACTTCTTCAAGGGATTGCTTCTGATCTTCTTTTAAAGTCTTAACAAGGTATCTAGTATTACAATCTGATAGAATGTGTTCTCTGCCTGGCCTTGATTTTGCAGTTTCTTGACCTTCTTCTCTGTATTGAGATACTATATCATGTGCTGTTGATTTCAGGTGTCCAGTTATGTCTGCTATTTCTCTAAACCTTTTTCCTGCTTCCCATAAACCAACAATTCTTCCATGCTCAAAATCAGAAGTATCTTTTGACTTTGACATACTTTGAATTATATTTTAAATAGTTTAGATTATGGACCTAAAACAAAAAAAAAAAATTGTTAAGAAATAGGTTTAAATAGTTGTGCCATTTAAAAAAAATCATGCAATAAAAATTATTATTTAACTAAAAAACTTATGATGTCTGGATAACTACCTATGCTTGTTTGTAGACAGGTTTATCATAAAAAATTGTACATACATATGCAGTATAACGTCAAAAACAAGTTTTACTAAGAGTGCAATGAATGTTACAACATAAAAATTTAACATCACCTTATTACCAAAAAAAAATGATTAAAATTTCTTCACTTTTCACGGAAAATTAAATTATGTGGCCAACTTTAGGCTTATTTTTTTGAAATTTATTTTTTATTATAACTATATGATATTGGGAACAAGTCTACTTAATGCCACTAAGGCAGTTTCATTTTAAAAAAATACTTTATTTAGTTAACACTTTTTTCGTTTTATGTTACACAACGCTTGTATCTGGAAATTTTTTGTAGGGGAGTGTAGATCAACTCAAGATTTTGTGCAATGCAATAAAAATTATTATTTAACTAAAAAACTTATGATGTCTGGATAACTACCTATGCTTGTTTGTAGACAGGTTTATCATAAAAAATTGTACATACATATGCAGTATAACGTCAAAAACAAGTTTTACTAAGAGTGCAATGAATGTTACAACATAAAAATTTAACATCACCTTATTACCAAAAAAAAATGATTAAAATTTCTTCACTTTTCACGGAAAATTAAATTATGTGGCCAACTTTAGGCTTATTTTTTTGAAATTTATTTTTATTATAACTATATGATATTGGGAACAAGTCTACTTAATGCCACTAAGGCAGTTTCATTTTAAAAAAATACTTTATTTAGTTAACACTTTTTTCGTTTTATGTTACACAACGCTTGTATCTGGAAATTTTTTGTAGGGGAGTGTAGATCAACTCAAGATTTTGTGCAAATTAATTTAAAAAATTCTTTATTGCCTAATCACTCATTTTTTTACTAAACAAACATGACCTGATTTTTCACCAGTTATAATCCTTATGATATAAATATATATTATGCAAAATCTCAATTTTGGTCAGAGGTACCTTTTGCTAGAAAACCCCCCATATATAAAATATATAAATATATATAAAATATATATATATATATGACCATTGTAATTAATAATTAAATATCATCAAACCTCCTGCTAGTACATTGTTCTTCCAAAGATATATACATGCGTGTGTTTAAATAATTTTTACTAATAAATAAAATATTATCCAAGAATTTAGTATATAAAGTTTATATAACAAAATTTGATCACAATAAAAAGAAATAAATAATAATATTTGCAAGCAAGAGTTTATCTTCCATTATCATGGATAGCCCTCCCTCTCTCATCTATAATCCACTATTGTTACTGTTGTTATTGTTGTTAACTATTTAAAAGATTTAATGAATGATTGAATTAAATGCTTACTGCTGGTTAATTCTAAACCACCATCTAATAATAACTATGATTGTTGCAATCAAAGAGGATGAACAAGAAGGTATAATGTTATTATAAAAGGGTGTTGTCTCGAATGTAAAATCCTATATAATAATAAATAGATTAAAAAAGATAATGGTTAAATATTAAAAAAGAAATGATGACAAAGTCTTAAACATTTACTTTTAATAAAATTTTGACCATTCATAATAATAATAAAAATAAAAATAATATATATAAAAGTAAAAAAATAAAAGTTACCAAGTTGACAGGTTTAAATAGATCATGGAAACCTTAAACTTTCATTTCTAATACAACCTACTTAAATTCACTTGATCGACTTGATCAGGTATTTCCAGAATGTAAAGAAAAGTTGAAAATATATATAAATGTAAAAAAATATGTATATTTCATAAAATGGTTTTTGTGCGCAGTCACGAGACTATTTCTATTCTAAACTCAATTGAAATAGCCTGTTTCACAATATAAAAAAGATCGACGATCGATTTTGTCACAAAGTGATAAAACGAATGTCCATTATGCTAATGGCTTCAGTGAAAGATGTATATTTTTATAATGTAAGTGTTTCAGTTTGGGAATGATCTACATGTAAACCAATTGTCATTTGCACAAAAAATTGTATTGCACTTTTTGTCTACAGGATGATATGGCAATTAATTCTCATATTTTTATATAAATAAATGTTATAATTAATCATTCTTTATTTGATATACATTTCCTTAAATATATTTTGACAAAAAGAGGCCACTTTTGTTGTAATTAAGAAGTCCTTGAGTTTTGTTCTTTAGATTTTCCTTTAGTAGGATGCATTGTTTGTAATTTTCAAATAAATAAGAGTTATTACACTCAGAACCAAATAGGTTGTTTCATCAAGAAATAGCCAATGCAAATCATACCCAGAAATTCCAAGAGATCATGATATATTATAAAGGAAAATTTATTTACTCCAATGTTGCTTTTAAAATATTTGATTTATTAATAAAATTAATTCTTTTTTCGCTTGTGCTTTGTTGATACCTAAAAAGGCAAATGATTGTCGTACACGTGATCAAAATGTCTTACCGGGGGAGTAAGTGCTACTATTAAAATGATATTAATATATGTCAGCGCCCTAACAACTCTTTATTATTTTAAATTTAAAGGAAATAAAAAAAGTAAATACACAGATTAATAAAATAAAATCAATCACCCCAACTAGCTTGAGTTTAACAAGCATGACTAACCTTGATGATGAATTTGACTTCATGAAGCTAAATTTTGATGAATTTCTAGTCAAACCTCTGAAATTTGGATCTGCATATGATGAAGTATGTGTTTGCAAAATAGTCTTTAAAAGATATAGCTGAAGAAATGGCCCACATTTATAATAATGCAGAAAAGTGGTAAGTGGATAACTTTAGCGTAGGCACCATTAATAGAAATATGTATTTAGTAATAGCACATTTTGTTATTTATCATTTAGGGATTGGAGTTGTAAATTTAAGTGACAAAAAGAAGCAAAGTACTAAACCATATAAACTTATTGAACAAAAATTTAACCATTTTTTTTGTTTTTGTAACTTTTTACATTGGTAGGATGACAGAAATAATTGACCTATTATTTGTATTATCATTTTGTAATGTTTATTATAATGATTAAAATCAAATTCATTGATATTAATAATATGCTATTTATTAGATCTGCTTTATTCAGTGGAAAGCCAATTTACTTGCAAAATTGCTTGTCAAAATATTGTTGATTATTACTAGTATGAGTTGTTTTTTTGGTTTTTCTAATTAATAACAAATTTTATTGGAAGTCATGCAAGTCACTTATTTAATTCATCAAATACCAAGTCATTTAATTTCTTAGCTGGCTTGCATCATTAAACAAAGTTAATGAATGAATGTACATATGTTTGTAAAGAAAGAAAAAATCATTCAAGAAAAAAAACTTTTAATTTTCACCTTTTTTTCAATATCATACTTCCCAAAATTGTGTTTTAATAAAATATTTGTTTGATGTTTAACATTTAATATTTAATTCCGCCTGTTTCTTTTTAATGTACAATGTAAATAATTAACAAAAAAAAAATTATGATAATAATATCATTAAATGTTTATTCACTTCATATATATATATATATATATATATATATGTATATATAATATTTGTGAAAGAGAAAAAAGAAAATGAGTACATATTTACTAATGAAGTAAAAATATTTACTTGAAAAATTTTTTTGCGTAAAAATATAAAAATTTCTCCATGAATTCTTCTGGCCAATTGAATATCATTCTGCATTAATGTAACTTGTTTATGAATAAATTCATATCTTGAAACGAATGTATAGCATAAGTTTTAGTAGCTATATATATAAATATTGAAATTAATATATATATATATATATATATATATTAGATATCTATTAGATTTTTTTATCTAAAATACTTTCTTGAAGCGCGAGTGCTATCTGAGAAATTGCTGGAAGGATATTTATGGCAATATCTCTGGCCTATATGTTTAGGTTTTAATATCGTTTTTTTAGGAAATTGAATATTTTAATAAATAATAATAATCATTATGATAAATTTTTTATTCTAATTTACTAATTAGCTATTCTAGAAAATAGCAATTTCTCAAGAAGGAGATTTGTTAGTTTTGATGTTTCCTGATTTCTTATAAAGCTTTGGTACCAGTTTTATATCCTTGCATATCTTTTCTATCCAATTCCCTCAATATTGTTTTTATGTTTCGCATTTGATTGATAATTCTCTCCTTGTCAGTTTTTCTTCTCTGCTTTTCAAGCATTCTTAATGACGTGAACTTAATATTACACCTTTTATAGTTGGAAATGCGTTGTTTACGTTTTTCTTCACGTTTTTTATCTCCTGGAAACACTGGTAATTTTTTTATCTCTTCATGAAGATTTATACATGATGGTGGTCCTGATACTTTAAAAACCTTCCATTTTATTTCTTCATCTTTCTTTTGTTTTTGATCGTCTTGTTCTTCTGCTACAGTTTCCTTGTGAGACAGTTCAGGCAGTTGAGGATCCTTACCAATCACTTTTTTTTCGCCTGAAACTACTTCTAACTTTTTATCATGTGATTCAAAGACTGACGTCGGCTTAATATTCTCATTAATTGGCCTATCATCTGAAATACTAATAGGTATAGTTGGTGAAAACAATGATGATAATGATGATGATAATGATAATGATGATGATGATGATAATGAAAGGGGATTTGCCGCTTGTGACATTTTATTTCCTATAGCTTGAGATGAAAATATGGAAGTTGGTTGTCTGATATTTGGGGATAAAGGTTTGTTGCCGAAAATGGCAAACTGGTCATCGACCTCCATTAAATCTGACATAGAACTTGCTATACTCATTGATCTTGATCTTGGTCTAATTTCTGTGTTGTCTTCTATCATCTCAATATCGTGAATACTATTCTGCCTTGAATTTTTATTTTTGGATCTAAAGGGTGATGATAATTCCAAATCGACAACATTTTCAAATGAATAATCAACATTATCTGGTTCTTTCTCGTATTGTTTTTGGTATAAAGTATTAAGCCTTATTGGTGGTGAATGTTCGTTGAAGAAATCTCTTGCAAGAAGTCTCTTGTTGTTATTAATGCTGTCATTAATACTTAAAGGAAGTTTATTGAGATTATCTATTGAAATTTGTGTGTCGATATAAATTTCGAAAACATCTAAAAAATCATCCACAACATCAAAATATTGCACTGGAGCCTTTTGTTTCGATAATATTTTTCTGTGGTCATGTTTTATACCAACTCTTTCCAATTGTGATTGATCAAGTGATTCACGAAATCGTTCAGACCTCTGTGTTATTCTTGCTCCCTCTTCTGCTATAGGTTTTTTAATAATTTGATGATGATTAGGACTGTTGAATGGTTTTTTTTTCATTTTCTTCATTATAAAATTTTATTTTGTGATACCAGCGTCATATACAATTTTGTTTATTTTTTATGCGATTGGCCGATTCATAAATTGATTGGACAATTTGAAAAATTTTTTAACTTGGTGCATTTATAGTTGAGACAATTTGAAAAAAGCATATCCATCCATAAATAACATTCGATAGAATATATATTAAATTTGTTTACGCGTTCACCAGATTAATAACACATCCTTTACCAAATGCAAAAAAGCTTCTATAGCTAACTTCTGAATTACTTACCAAATTACTTTGACAATATATAAAATAAAAGGTGGGGAGTCATAAAATGTTGGTTGTATTATTGCCCAATTGGTTTTGGTGGTCGGTCACCAATTGAGTTAAAATGATGTGTCAGTTTGTATGTGGAGCATGCTGTAACCAAACCAGACAAAGTGAACATCATAATTATGTATTATGTGAACGAGAATGATTCTTCGATGAAAGATATAACAAACATCATTTTTCCATCTTTTTAACGATTCTTCAAAATATCGCATTGAAACTCAAAGGTAAGTAAGTAATCTGATATCATCAATTTAGTTGAAATATAAAGATTTTAAAGGAAACAAATTAACATCCCTATCGACATCTTCATCTTCATCTTGGCCGTATTTGGTGTTTATCGTTATAATTAACATGTGTAAAGAGTAAATGAATAGAAATTATTAAGTATAAATAATGATGCTTACCCTTATTTTTCTCTATTTCTTTTCCTGTGTCAATAGGAGGCAGCAACAGAAAATAAATAAACAGAAGAGAAGTTAAAGTTGTAAACAGTATACCAAACGATCATTCAAATGAATGAATAAATAAACAAAATGGAACGAGCGAAAATAATTTTTTGTATGTTTTTTATGCAATTTGCCCGTTACCTTTACTTTTTTTCAACTAATGATGTTCGTATATATAGCACATGCTCTTCGGCTTCTTTTTTTCTTCGATTAATCCATCTCTCCGATTTTTCCACATCGTCTTTTCATCATCATCATCCATTCTTTTTTCTTCAACTTCCTATTCAGCTCATTCATCTTCGCATTTCCTTTTTCCTCGAACCTCTCCAGCTTCTTTTCTGCTCCCTCAATTTTCTTCAAAAAAAATTTTTTTTTTGCATTATTAATTATTTTTATTGATTAAATCGCGTCTATAAAGTAAATTTTGACACGTAACTTTGGGATAAATACAGTCATACCTCCATATAAGAACCTTCCATATAAAAACACCATACAAAAATTTCTGCATAAGAACACATATTTTGAAAACCAATTACTATTAAGCTTATAGAAAAGAAACAGGAATTACCGCAATTAAAGGCATTTTGTGCCAATGCAGTCAAGTAATTATATAAATCATACATATTTAACGTTAATACAAATTGTCGAAGTGTAGCGTTTTATTGTGCGTAACGATAAAAATAATACAGATTGAAGCTAAACTCGTCAGAGTAAATTTAGCTCTAAATAGCATACTTGGGAATATTTATATGATTATATATATTATTTCGAATTTGATCGCTCAAAAGCCTTTTTTTAAACTTTTTGAACTCTAAAACTGGGTGGAGCCGAACCTAAGCTGGACTGACGAGTAATTTAACATCCCTAGATGTCGATGAAGATGAAGATGAAAAAAATGACGAATCTAGTCAAATGACAACAACACCACCTAGAAAACATAACCCAACAAATTCATAAAACAAACAATTTCCAATTTTAGAGAAATGTATCCAGAAGGTAGCCCACGTAAAGATATTGAGATGCCAGAATATATTAGTTCAGGTTTTTTTATCGAAATAGTAAAATAAAAGAAATTAATAGGTCTGTAAATATTCAGCTTATTTAAAATATGCTAAAGGGTGGTGGATGAAGTACAAAAAAAATTGGAAGATCGATGTAAAAGAAAAGAAGAAGTAATAATAATGTCGGCCGGCTGATTTTCTTTTTTTTTTTTTGATAATCAAATAGAAGGTAAATAAGTCTTAATGTATAAAAACATTCATTGACTAATATGACTAATTAAACAATGAAAATAAATGATTCTCGCATGGCTTTTATATGAACTCCCGTTATAATGACAATCTCGTTATAACGGGAATGACTTGTAATAATAATAATAATAATAAATAATAACACTTTTTTAGTTGAAAAAATGCGTATTCCAGCAAGTATATTTTTTAAAAAACTTTTTGGTTTCATCGAGTTAAGAACAGGTAAGCTGGAAAAAAAAGATTCACATATTTATTTAAATATATATTTTGTAAAAATATTAATTAATTCTATTTCATAAAAATAAAATGACAAGGTGTAATCTTAATTACAGTATTCACTTTGGTAAATAAATGAAAGAACATAAACACATATATTTCTATATTGATAAATAATAATTTGATTTTACTATTAAATACAGCTGAACAAAATATCAGGATTCTTTGGAATTCAAACAATATTTTATGGAGGTGGATTCATCTCTATAATTTCATATTTATACTCTATAATAATTGCATTTGTTATTCTTTATTGTCTACTTAATGGAATTCTAAAGGTAACCACTAGTTATTCTTGAATTAAATTAGGTTACAATTATTATGATAATATAACAACTTATTCTTCCTCTTTAAAAATAATTATTGTTATAGGAAAATCCAACAGTAATACAACTATATTCAAAGATTTACTGGACAGATTTAATTATTAATATAATATTCACTATAACATTTGGTATCTCATGGTTTTATACTATTAATCATTCACCCCCAAAAATAACGTCATCTTTCAATAATGACAACACAACTACTACAAGTAGTGAAGATGGCGATGAGCTATTACCCATTAAAAAAACACTATCATGGAAAAAAGAATCTATAATATCAGTAACATGTTTAGTCATTGTGTCAATCATTCATGTAAATAATTGAAATCCTTTATTGATTGATTTATTTATTTATTTTTGAAGGAAAAATAATTTTTTATTCCATTTTTTATAGGTATATTTTGCATTATTGGTTCAATCTTATTCACGTTTTGTATCAAAAAAATCACAAGAAAATTTATATAATTCTAGAAAAACAACATCTGGCACTGCATTATTGAACTCTGAAGATACTAATACTTCTAATAGCAATAGTATTAATGTTAATGTATTCAGAAGAGTAACAGTTGAAGACTATGATGAAGAATCACATGCAGACTTTTAAATCATAAACAATAAAACTTTGATGAAAGATATATATATATCTTTTAATTAATATTTGCAAATCACCTGGATATTATTTAATTCTAAATTTTTGGTTTAATCTTTAAAAATCATTATAATAATCATATACATGTAACCAATTACTTTGAAATGTAAACTGATCAAAGAAAATACTAAACATTTAAGATCTTATATTAATAAAAACTTCTTAAACCTTCAGGATTTCACTTTCTTGAACATCAACAAGTAATCCTTAATATATTAATACTAAGAACTATTATTAATCTATAGCAGCAGTACTAGTAACGTACATCATTTAACATTTTTACACTCAAATGCGCAATGAACTGGCTTTATTACTATACCATTTTCGTTGTTTACAACATGATGTATTTTGTATTTCTCCTAATTGAGCAGGTAAACGATTCTCTTCTGCTCTGATTTGACTTTCATAATCCATTTTTTAGCATCTTCAATAAACCAAATATATAAACATAAGCATAAACATACATGTTAATTAATTGATTTTTACTATTTTACCAATATTGTCTTCACCCAAATATTATCACCGTGACTTAAATCAAGTTCTTAGTTTGATTCCATAGTCTATTATTAATATAGAAATGATAATGATTAGCATATAAATTATTAAATTATTTGTTTATATATGTGCATATAATATATATGTATGATTGATTGAATTTATTGTTACTTGCAATTGAAAGGACACAATGTACCTTTGGATCGTTGATTTGCAAATTGGCTGCCGGATCGCATCCAATAGTTATACGATCTTGATATTCTGACAAAATGGCTCCTTGGTTTTTGACTTAATATACGACCAATGAAATTGGTTTAGATTCAAGTTTAGCTTGAACCATTTAAGTTGTTAAATTTTTTTATATCATGTTTTTTCACTAACATGACTCTTGACTGTTTTGAATTTATCATTTCCGTTGAAAGAATTATTATTATTTGTTATGACAGATAACATTGGTTCAATTTCCAGTAGATCTCTGAGTTTTATGATTGTTTTAAAGTGGGCTTCGATGATGTGACTTCTTTTGTAATTATTTCTGATTAAAGCATCATTAGATTCGACAGGCTCTTCTTGTTTAAATGATATTCAAATTGAACAGAGGAGCCTGTCGAGTCTAATAATGCAGAGACTGATGAACTAAGTGGACCTTGGATAATTATATTTGAACTGACTAATTGCGTTAAAAAAGGCTTTTTTCTGTATATGGATCTTCATAATACCAAACATGTCTTAGGACAACCCAGTTTTCTTCGCATAATTCTTTATTGAGTTTTTATCCTGCTTTCGTTGTCGGATAAAACCAATGGGATTCCTATGAAAGAATTTATGTCATGAGAACGTAACAAAATACCTTGGATTGCCATCTAAGATATGTCGTCCCAATTTCTTAAAAACATCAAAATATCCAACAGGATTAGAACTTGATATTTATTATCCACAGTATGGCTTTGCAATAGAAGTACAAGGAGAACAACATGAAAAATATATCGAATTTGTTTTTACAATATGGGCGCCAATAACCTCTTAAAATCATATGTGGCACAGCCTCCCACACATGAAATTTTTTGCATTGCCAAAGAAGCTTTATATATATATTATAGTATCTATATGAGAGACATTTTCCACTTTCTTATGTGCAAGTTTACGCATAATATCAATAGAGAGTTTCGCATTTCCTGCGCAATAAGGGTACCAATTATTTCGGTGTTTAATGGTATTAATTGGTGACTGCCATATATGAAATTTTTTACGAAATATAAAAATAGCAAAAACCTGCTTTTATGGGAAATGTAGAAAGACGTTTATTAAAGGCAAATTGTTTTGCATCCTCAAGTGTTAATTTATGTTTATCTCTTACATAATAAGGACACCAAGTATTTTGGTATTTGATAACATTAAAAGATGTTTGCCATGTATGTAATTTTTCGCATTGCCATAAAAGTGGACTTATTGTTTTTATATTCTGTAGAAAGACACTTGCCATTTTTAATAGATGCTAGTTGTATTGCATTTTCAAGTGTTAATTTATATTCGTATCTTGCGTAATAAGAGCACCAAGTGTTTTGGTATTTAATATTATAAAAAGATGCTTGTCATGTATGTAATTTTTCACATTGCCATAAAAGTACGATTTTGATATTTTTATATTCTGTAGAAAGAAACTTACCATTTTTACTAAAAGAAAGTTGATTTGCATACTCGAGCGTATATTTTATATTTTTAGGTACGAGTTTTTTATGATTGTTTGAACAAGTAAACACCAAGTTTTTCGAATTAAAAACGGGCTTTGCAAGGATGACCATATTTGCATTTCCAAAACATAGGAATAAAACAGTTAATGTAGTAAGAAAGACATCACCCACCCCATTCTTCAACAATTCTTATTGCTTCATCTAATGTTAATCTATTTGACATTTTAATAATTTTAATAAATCTGTCAATTGTTAAATTAGAAAAGATAGGTATTTTCATAGAAAATAAGCCTGTGTTAATAGGGAAGAGTCAGGGAAAATTTGTGTCATTTCCGTCATTCCCAACCATATAGCTATAATAGATATATACTACTTATGTGACATAAGCTAAATGCTCTATATGATCGGAAGTAATTCATAGTTGAAACAATTATCATGGCCATGAGGCCTAGCTTTATTAAAATAAAAAGTGTTGCTGAACAACAACAACATACATATAGTGCAAGACACCTAGTCCCACAACTTTTTATTGTCCTTGTAGATCCTTCTCTAACTCCAAAAATGGAAATGTAACACACAAAAAATAAGCCGTAATTTTGAAGCTAAGACCTTTCTCTACAAAGTTACGATTTCATTTTGTTGATATGTCACAGC